TGTGTGTGTGTGTGTGTGTGTGTGTGTGTGTGTGTGTGTGTGTGATGGAAAACCTAAGATCTGCTCTCTTAGCAAATTTAGACACCATGCCACTGGCACAAAAATAGACACACAGGTCAATAGAACAGAATAGAAAACCCAGAATGAACCCACAGCTATATGGTCAATTAATCTCTGAAAAAGCAGGAAAGAATATCCAAATGGGAAAGAAGTCTCTTCAACAAATGGTGTCAGGAAAACTGGACAGCAACATGCAAAAGATTTAACTGGACCACTTTCTTACACCATACACAAAAATAACTTCAAAATAGATTAAAGACCTAAATGTGAGACATGAAACCATTAAAATCCTAGAGGAGAACCTAGACAGAATCTAACTTCTCTGACATTGGCCACAGCAACTTCCTACTAGATGTCTCCTGAAGCAAGGGAAACAAAATAAAAAATAAACTATTAGGACTACATCAAAATAAAAAGCTTCTGCACAGCAAAGGAAATAATCAACCAAACTAAAAGGCAACCTACAGAATGGGAGAAGATATTTGCAAATGACATACCTGATAAAGAGTTAGTGTCCAAAATATATAAAGAACTTCTAAAACTCAACATCAAAAAACCCCCAAATAAACCAATTAAAAATGGGAAGAATACATGAATAGACCTTTTCCTAAAGAAGACACACAGATAGCCAATGGACATATGAAAAGATGCTCAACATTACTCATCATCAGGGAAACATAAATCAAAACTACAGTGAAATATCACCTCACACCTATTAGAATGCCTAAAGTCAACACAAGAAACAAAAGTGTTAGTGAGGATGTGGAGAAAGGGAGACCCTTGTACACTGCTGGTAGGAATGCAAACTGGTACAGTCACTCTGGAAAACAGTATGAAGATTCATCAAAAAGTTAAAAATAGAAGTACTCTATGATCCAGGAATTGCACTACCAGGTATTTAGCAAAATAATACAAAAATATTAACTCAAAGGGATACATGCACCCCGATGTTTATAGCAGCATTATCAACAATAGGGAAATTATGGAAACAGCCCAAATATCCATCAACTGATGAATGGATAAAGAAAATGTGGTGTGCATATGTGTGTGTATGTATGTGTGTGTATATATATATGTGTGTGTGTGTGTGTGTGTGTGTGTATACACATATATATATAATGAAATATTACTGAGCCATAAAAAAGAATGAAATCTTGCCCTTTGCAACAATATGGATGGAGCTAGAGAGTATTATGATAAGTGAAATAAGTCAGAGAAAGACAAATACCATACGATTTCATTCATGTGTAATTTAAGTAACAAAACAATCATAGGGAAAAAAAGAGAGGCACAAGAAATATACTCTTAACTATAGAAAACAAAATGAGGGTTGCTGGAGAGGAGGTGGGTGTGGGGATGGATTAAACATGTGATGAGGATTAAGCACCGGGTGTTGTATGTAAGTGTTGAATCACTAAACTCTACATCTGAAACAAATATGGGACCCTGCCCTACCTCTTGCCAGTATACCCTGCTGCGGAGCATCTCTGGGTGGTGGAGTGGAATCTCAGACCTGAAGAAAAAGGAGAGTACTTTCCCTGGTCACAAGTTGTCAGTGGGACTTCTGATCCATCTCTCTTGTTTTCCTTATCCGGGCTACCCTGGTGTTATTGGACTTTTAATCCAGGGGAAGAAAGAGCCTATCTGGAATACCTTCTATAGCTAAGTTGGGGGTCAAGATATACTGGCCCTGAACCATCATCATCTGGGAGGGGAATATTTTATCATGCCCTGACTCTACTATTCCTCTAGTCCTTCCTGAGTTCCCTAACCAGATGACCTTCCAATTTCTACCTTTCAGAGTTGGCCTTTGGTTGTCTTTTGCATTATTTCCAGAGTTTATAGTTTTACTTTGTAGGGAGAAGCAGGGAGTGATAAATCTATGCTGTCTTGTCCCACAATACATTTTAAAAAATTGAATTTATACAGAGTATCTGTTCTGTCAAAACAAAATAAAAATTTAATTTTATAAATAGAACATAATCTTCAAATATTTGTGAAGTAAACACAATTATAAAAAAAATCCATGGACAAATAAGCAAAAAGATATTAGAAAATACTTCAAATTAAATGAAAATCAAAATGAAAATCTCTGGAATGCAGCTAAAGTACAGCTTAGGGTGAAATTTAAAACATGAAATGATTATATTTTGGGGGGAAAAAGACAGTCTCAATTAAGTGAACTAAACTTGTACCTTAAGAAGCTAGAAAATAAGAAGAACAAATTAAAACCAAAGTAAGTAGAAGGGAAAAAATAGTAAAAGCAAGAACTAAGGAAAGAGAACAGAAAAAAAATAGTGAAAATAAACTGAAGGCTGATTGTTTAAGAATATAAATAGTATTGACAAAACTCAACCATATTTATCAAGAAAAACAAGACACTAGACATAAATTACTAATGTCAGGAATGAAACAGGTGACAGCACTACAGATCCTAAAGACATTAAATGGATAGGAAGGAATACTGTGAACCACTCTGTGCCCATAAATTTGATAAATAAGAAGAAATACACCAACTCC